GTTGTGTAGAGGAAGAGATCCTTTTACCCAATGGGTGAGACAGCAGAAGTGAGTCGAGGAGGAGGCAGGGGCCCAGAGGAGGGCATGGCCATCTGACAGGGACATGTATGCATCTGAGACAGGGACAGGCGTGCATCTTGCAGGATGAATATCGAGCAGACGCACAGGACGGGAAACTCCTTGAGGTTGCAGGAGTCACCTACTCAACTGTGTCTCACATTCAGCTCTCAAGTTCCTGCCTCTTGGCTTTGCCTGCAGCACATCTCCTGGGAGTTACCTCAAGCAAAACGCATCCCAAACCACCATCTGCCTCCTCCCCAACACACCCTGGCCCTCCCTGGCTACCCCTGAGCACGGTGCTGGTGTGTGTGTGTGTGCATGGGTGCATGCCTGCATATATAGCTATCCCCCAAAGCCCCACATAATGCTTCAGTTTGCTAAGGAAAAAATGTTAATTATTGCAAATGTGTTTAAAATTGTAAAAGTACATTAAATAAACTCTGCAAAGCGTGAAACAGTAGTTTCAATGCTATTGCTTCTGGGGCCCTGGAAAAATCCACGTTTGCCTTTAAGATAAAACGACCGTGTAAGTGCAAATACATACTGTCAGCGCCCTCTTGTGGAGAGGCCCATAGGCGGTGCCTGGGCTTCCTGAGCCAGGGACTGCCATCCTGCCAGCTGTCCTTTTAGTGCGTGACCTCACCCTGCTTGAAAGCCTGGAAGTAGCTTTTGACTCTGTGCCTCCTTCCTTCCCCCTACAAGCTGGCTCTGAGCCTTGCCCCACCTTTCCCCTCCCCCCACCTTTCTCCTTCCCCCTCCATCTCAAGCCATCTTCCTACCATGCTCTACCCTGGCCAGGCTCCCTAACCTCCAACCCAGCCTGGCCTCCCTGCCTCCGGCCTGCCTGAGGCCATCGTGCCACCACCGCCAGTTCCAGGTCTTCCTGCAGGGCTTTTCAGACGGTTCTGGTAATGCCCACTTCAGTCCACCAGGCCAGCCTCTGCCCTCTGTACCCCGTGGATACCAGGAGCCTTACGCAAGGAACGCCCTTCTTTCCTTGACCTTTGCTCCCCATCTGCAGCCATTTGGAGCCAAGTTGCGGCCCTTCCAGGGACACCTTCTCAGCTCTCACACACGTCCCAAAAGCCAATTCATAGAATGGCCCTTGAACCATCTCTGTCTGTGGGTGTCTCATCACCCCAACTAGACCATTAGCTTTTTTTTGCTTTCTTTTCCTTTTTTTTTTTTTTTTTTTT